GCGTGCGTGTGTGTGTGTGTGTGTGTGTGTGTGTGTGTGTGTGTTCTATACTTTCATGCTATCGCCACCACATTCAAAGGACGAAAGTGTATTGCAAATAAGCGGTTCCCGTATAACCGTGCCTTGTCCGCTGCACATGTCCAGTGTCAGCAGACACAAGAACACAGGTGTGAGAGGAGAGAACCGATACTTGTCTGTACAAGCTTCTGCACGCTCGGCGTCTCCGAATACTCGCCAGGCGTTGAGTGTTGGGAAAACATCCTAGTCTTCGACTGGACACAAATAAATGGACAAACCGATTGCTGCTTTTTGATCAGATGTGCCAAGTACAATAACGCTCGTATGCCAACATAATACACGACAAAGGTGGAATTTAAAGAACTTAATAACTATAGCATCCATCTGTTTCTAGAAACTTTTTGGAACTTCCACATTAAAAAAAAACACCTCTGAATATTCAAAACAGACTCAAACATTTCAGCCAGAACGAGTATTCCGAACCGATACCGCGCTCAGTTTGCTGGCAAATGCAGAAATGCGCGATAATACACTGCATGTTTGTCTCTTCATCCGCGTGGGAAAAGAAACACCTTCCCAGACTGCCCGGTCGGCCCTGTGCGACGCCCGACAGACAGACTGGGACAAGTCTGTATACGACAGACAACACTTAGGGGCGCACAGCTTCTCTATCTCAGCGACCACTTTGTCCAACATAACAACGTTGACTCAAAGAGCGTAGCAAGTAGTCAGCATGGGTTAAAAAAATAACTCATAACTGTGTTTGAACTTTTTTAAATTCTGAAAAGGATCTGAGGACTGATTTCGCTGGCTCTACGAGGCAGAAGGACGAAATACAAATACAAGCTATTTCAGAAGCGGACCAAAAGTGAGCATTATTACCATTGGCAGATTTTACAAAAAGATTTTCGCTCTTCCATTTTCAAAGACCTTTTTTGTTTTATCAGTTATCATTGTTTTTAAAATCCGTTCAATAACAAGCAAATAAAAGAAAACTGTTATTATTCTTTTTCTGTTTCTCTTGCAAAAGACTTTTAAAAAATCCAACATTAGTATTAAGATTCACAAAAAGGAAACATTTCGACTTACAGTACACCATCTTCAACTTAATTTGTAAGAACGTATGTGTTTTATCTTTGCACCACAGTTGGAACACAGGACATTCTTGTCACAGGTAAAGACTTGTGGGAAAAGACTCAACGACACACACACACACACACACACACACACACACACACACACACACACACACTCTCTCTCTCTCTCTCTCGTTCAACTCGACTATTTCTCTATACAAACGATACAAGAACAAGTCTGTGCTTTGAGACGCGCGCG